AAATTTGAGTTTGGAAGGGACATCGTCATCTATCTTGGGCACCGGTTGTCTGCAAATGGCCTTGAGCCTGAGGCAACCAAGGTTGATGTCGTACGGAAGTGGCCTCAACCAGCAAATGAACGTGAACTGCGTTCCTTTATTGCCTTGGCTTCGTATTACCAAAAGTTTGTACCCAAATGTTATGTCATTGCTCACCCACTCTTGAGACTAACAAGCAAAAATGTCACTTACGCTTGGTGCGAGACTGCGTTTCAAGCCTTGAAAGAGGCTTTGGTAAGTCATCCTGTGCTCCGCATTGCGGATCCCAACCTCACGTTCGTGATCTCTACGGACGCCAGTCAGTATGGGATTGGAACACTGCTGCAACAAGATGATGGCGATGGTCTGCGTCTGCTCTGCCCAGCCACAAGGTAGCTACCTCCACATATATGTGTGAGCTATACGCCTTGCGAGAGGCACTCGCACATTGGAAGCACTACCTCTGGAGTCATCACTTCCAAGCTTTGCTCGGATCATCAAACCTTGCAGTGGATCAAAACGCAAACCTGCTGGGTGCATGGCATTGATGTTTTCAATTTTGAACTGATACACAAGAAAGGTTGTTATAATCAAGTCGCTGATGCTTTGTCTCGTCATCTTGAGTTTTTGACTTGCCTCGTGGGCTCATACGATCTCCGAAGGAAACTGAAGGAGGATCTGGCCGAACACAATGCCAAGGATCCGGACCTTAGTCCCATCCTTGAGCAACTGACCCTAGTAGCCAACCTGATTTTTACAATGTGTGAGGGTCTTGTATTCCGACGCTATGGGAAGTTTGTTCATTTGTGTGTACCCAACCATGCGCCTCTCCGAACTCATTTCTTGGATTTGGCACATGGTCAGAGTGGACACTTTGGCTTTGAGAAGACTTACGAAAGTCTTTAGCAGCAGTTTGGTTGGTCGGGAGTGAAGGGATCCGCTCAGAAGTTTATTGTTGAATGTCAAGTATATCAAAGAACCAAGGTTCATAGGCACAAGCCTTATAGCTTGCTGAAACCCCTCCCCATTCCTGATGGACCAGTGAGTCGGTTTCTATCAATTTCACGAGCATGGGAAAGGTGAGTGAGGGAGGACATTCACAAGTCATGGTCATCATGGACCGTTTTTCCAAATTTATGAATTTGATTCCTTTACCTCCTTATGCACCACTGAGCTTGTGATCGAAGAATTTCACCAGCAGTACATTCTGCAGTATGGCCCCCTAAAAACTCTTGTGAGTGATCGGGGCATCAGGTTCATTAGTACTGATTGGAAGGACTTCACCTCTCAAATCTACGACATTAAACTCAACATGACTTCTGGTCGACACCCCGAAGCCAATGCGCTGGCCGAGGAAGTCAACCAGACCGTCATTCAACTACTTCACTCGTTAATTGTTCCCGATCAGAACACGTGGGACAAGGAGTTACACAAAGTGAAGGGGTTGTATAACAACTCCCGTCACTCTGCAACTGGCGTGATACCAAATCAACTGCAATACGATTGGCAGTTGTGCAATCCTCTCTCCTATCTATTCCCCAATCTGACACCTGACATGCCTGGCTACAATGCCAAGTATGCACACTTACTCGAAGTTGCTATCGCAACGATAAACAAGCGCCAACATGTCATGATCAAACATGCTAACAAGTCGCGCAAAGCATGAAATTTCAAAGCAGGAAGTTATATCTCGATCAAGAAGTCTGAATTTTCCGAAGAAGAGGGGATATCACGAAAGCTTCTTCCACTGTACAATGGTCCTTGGCAGGTTCTGAAGGTGGTAGGAGATGACAAGTTTTGTCCTTCATACGTGATCGACGTACCATGGTACTACCACCTCCTCTGCGTACATATCCGGTCTTTCACGCATCCAAACTGTTCCCCTTCATTAATGATGAGACTTTTCCCTTCCGAGATCCTATGATACCTCGTGCTATTGACGGTGGCCACGAAATAGACAAAATTGTTTCCCATGAAGGAAGAGGGAGGAACAAATAGTACAAAGTTCACTTTATCACCCGTTGAACGAGTTCTACTGGATCGATCGAAAAGAGCTGCTAAATAATGCTCCCCGTGTTGTTAACACTTATGAACGACACATCGCCGATGGACAGACTGCTAAGTTTTCTGCAACACTCACTCCTCATGGTTATACCGAAACTCTCTTTCTGATCTACGCCTACGATCCATCTTGTGCCGATTCTGAACGAGTTACTCGCTCGAAGGGACCTCGCTCTTGAGGTGGGGGTAGTGTAATGACCCGCCAAAACACAGACTGAGAACACTGCTGATTTCTGGGATTTGCCGCCGGAATGTATATGCCTTGCTGAGATTCCTGCATTCTGCTGTGATTTCTAGTCTGTGTGTGTGTGTGCCTGCTTGTCTGCATGCTTGTCTGAGTGCTTGTCGGCCTGAGTGTATGCATGACCCGCAAGCGTACTTGTTCGTTGGGAGGCCCCGCAAGGCCGGTACTTACCTGTGGCCGTGACTTTGAGGGTTGCAGCGGGGAAAAACACTCAAGTAGTGGGGGTAGGCCCGCAACACTTAGAGCAGCAGGAAAAACACTCACGTGCAGGTAGGCCGTTACCACTCGAGTAGTGGTAGAAGTGTCGGGTACAAAAGTTGGCATTTTTGGAGGCCCAGTAGTGGTAGGCTAGAGGTAGGCTGGTACCAGTCCAAGTAGCCTGAGTCTAGGGCCCGTACGGATAATATCAGAGCCTGCAATGATGTTTCCCTCCGAAAGGGAGGAGGTACCGGTTGCTGGGAGGCCACACGGCCTACAGTCTTCCCCCGAACAAAACGCACGTTCGTTAATTACGAATAGAACGCACGGGGTGCGTTCTATTCAAATATAACGCACGTGCGTTATGCTATGGATACAGGGTACCAACTTCCGGAAAATGGGCCCCCCAAAAAATTAGTACCCTGAATCCGTACTTATCCTTCGGGATTAGCATGGCCTCTGAGCACAGATGACAGGCATAAATCAAGAAATAGTCCACATGTAAAAAAAAAAAAGAAAAGAAAAAAGAAAAAAACACAACAGCCCGTCAAGAAACCAGGCGGGAGCAATAGGGAGGGAGTGAGCAGGTGGGAGCAATAGGGTGGTTTGGTGTGTGTGTGTGTGTGTGTGTGTGTGTGAGAGAGAGAGAGAGAGAGAGAGAGAGAGAGCTGACACCCATGTGTTCTATTTGAATAGAACAACCATCTGTTCGAATAGAACATATGTGCGTACTATTCAAATAGAACATACGTGCGTACTATTTCAACGTGCGTACTATTTGGATTTCGGGGTCCGACTTTGAGAAATGGACTTTTCCAGGGAAAGTTGAATAGTACATACATGCGTTTTGTTCGGGGGAAGACTGTAGGAAGTCACCGCCCAAGAGGCAACTAGGCCGCTATATCTTTAGGAGGAGCAAGTTACTCCTCATTTGCAGTGTGCAAGGATTGGCGACATACTGCTGGAGCCAAGCGCTGGACTTGGAGCGCTGCCTTGAGGAGGAGAGCAGCTGGGCGCTCAGCCTGGCTATGGCAAGCAGCCCAGCCCGAGGAGGAAGAAGGGGGCGGAGGAGGAGAGTGTCGGGGTCCCAACCTGACTATGGTGGACACCATCTTCATCACCTTGATAGGCGCTGCATCTGGAAGGCCCCAGTTGGGGTAGTGCTGCACCACGGAAACTCGAGGCAGAGTCAGGCATGGCAGCCTGATGAGCAGCAACATAGCTGCTTTTGGTTGTCCTTTGGACAGGAGGGCAAAACCCATAGCCTAGGCATGTGAGAGGAGGAAGAATGAGGAAGCCATGGCTATGGTGGACCTGTTGTTGTGTCAGCCGTAAGAGGGAACTTCGGATATTGATTCTGATTCACCCACTCATTGTTATCATTATTATTGGAAGAAGAATAAGATTGGTGAAGTCCAGGAGGAGGAGGAAGGTGGAGAGAGAAGGATATGTCATTGGTCTTGCTGGTGTACATCTTCTTCTTCTTCTTTTTCTTCTTCTTCTTCTTTCTCTCTTCTTTGGTCTCTCTCTCTTTGCAAGTGCTTTCTTTTCTTTCACCATTGGGTGGCATTGTCTTTCCATGTGAATTTGCACTTTGAAAATGACCAGGATCTTAACAAATGCATGTACCCTACATGCTACGGAACTCACAAAAAACTTTCAAAAAAAATAAAATATTTTTTTTTGGGCCCCGAAATAATTTTTGGCGGGGGCTGAATTTCCCCTCACGTTCGCCCGGACCCCCGAACGTTCGGGGGGAGTGTGGAGACTTCCCCCTCACATTCGGGTGGGTAACCCCTGCTTGAAGGTATAAGGGTGCGTAACTTCGATGATTGATAGGACTGGTAAAAGATTATACAGGGGGAAGATTTGGATAGGCAGGAGTTGGTATAGCGGAAAATCCGGGTGGAATGGAGGATATGTGACGGTGTGAGGCCCGGTGGCCAGTGGGGGGGGGGGTGCCGGGGGGGGGGCTGCCCCCCCCCCCCCCCCTCCGCTCCCACAGACACGCCTAATTTTGTGAATGGGTACATAGGATCTCAGATGTGTCTCCCGACCATTAGGTGTGTCCCGGGGGGAGGGGGGGGTGATTGGTAGGACTGGTAGGAGATAATACAGGGGGAAGATTTGGATAGGCAGGAGATGGTATAGTGGAAAATCCGAGTGGAATGGAGGATATGTGATGGTGTGAGGCCCGGTGACTGGGGAGGTGCCAGGGTGGGGGCAATGAGGACGGGGTACATAGACCTCAGATCTGGGTACATAGACCTCAGATCTGTTTGCCAGCCATGAGGTGTCTCCTGGCCAGGGGGGGGGGGGGGGGGAGGATACGGCCTCCCTTTCCCCCCCCAAAAGCCCCCCCACAGAGTGACTAGGGCGGCAGAGGATTGGACTCCTTGTGCTCTTGTTGAAGAATCGAATTCCACTATTTGTGAGGGACCCTGGACCCGTTTTCCGGCAGGTGCTGCTCCCCACTAATAGCTTGGAGCTCTCTTGATTAAAAAAAACATTAAAAAAAAGGAAAAAAATAAAGGGAAAACTGTAAAAGTTGTAAGCTGATGTACACAAAAAGCCTCTCGAAGTATAGCTAATGCTCCTCACAATTCACCATCCGCTCCCATTGCCTCATTGTGGTCGGTCATTTTCGACAGGATGGCCTCTATCTCCTTTCTAGTCCTCCATCTCCATACCTAATCAACAGATTGTCAAGATGTTGATAATGATGATGACGTGTTAACGGTGACAATGTTGATGACAACGACGATGATGATGATAATGACAATCACAATGATGATGACAATGGCAATACAGTGTGCTCATGGGCTGTTGTACCTGCACCTTCACTAACTCCTGTTGCTGGTGAAGTAGTGTCAGAGATTGGGATGTCGGAGTTTTCAGATGACTCATCCTGTTGGTTGTCCGACTTGAAAAGGTTCAACCTCCTCTGACGTCTTTCACGTTTCTTTTCTAGCTCCGCTTCTGTTGATACACCAAGGTCATGAAGAAGCATCTTGACATCTGACGGCACAACGAGTAAGGTGTGGGCTTCCAGCTCCAATTCTTCCTGAAGCTTTCTAATATGTCGATTGATGTCCCCTACTCGCTGCTCCAAGATCGATTTCTCCAGCGCCTGCAGCCACGTCCGAGAAGGTGAGACAAAGACCAATGTGGATTAACTTCCTGCTGATATTTGACTTTCCGTCAATAAAAAAAACTGTCATGGCCCTGCCTCCCAATCTCATATCATCTGGGGAGTCTCTGTCCATCCCACCAGCAAGCAACTTTCGACTCTCTCTCTCTCTCTCTCTCTCTCTCTCTCTCTCTCTCTCTCTCTCTCTCTCTCTCTCTCTCTCT